CCCCTTAACTTTGCCTCATATCATATATACTCTCCAAAAGAGTGACTGTCCCCTTCAAAATAGTGTGGGACTGTTATAAAAATGATCATCTCCTGGAAGACAGCTAGAAGAAATGCGGAGACATTCACTGTATTTGTTTTTCACCGCACCAGTTTTCATCTTGTTCTTTTTGGATGTTTAAAACAATAATTATAACAAAAAAATCATAATAAATGTAGCTCTTCACCCTTTCCTGTCTTCATTTCTTCTCAAAAGTATCTTATAACCTTATCTCCAGGATTCAGTTCTTCTTATCGTCAATTCCAGAGTCCAATCTGAAGATCAGCGGGGTCTTTCTCTTCCTGGCCCCAGACTCCCTGAGTCCTGGGCCTTTATGCTGAGTGTCACTTCCTCCTCAGGGCTGTCTGATTTGAAATTCCAGGTGCACTGTTTTCAGATTGGAAGCATAAGCATCGTCTCCAGCAGAGTTAATGGATCATTGGTTCTCCCAGAACCAGGAAACGCGATTCTTAGCGTGCTCATCAGCATTACAGTTGGGACAGCTTCTGATGCTTTATACTCTGCCCATCTCTTTAGTAATTTAGCTAAGGTTGCAATCAGATGGTACCTAGTTTCTGTTTACTTCTTACTGAACTTTGAAAGATGATTATTTTCAAAAGTCTCTAATGGTTTGTGATACTATACTATAGATTTGCCAAATGTTATCATATAGGTTGGGTGGAGAGAATAGAAGATGCCTCTATATTGTTCCTTACACCTGCGTGTGAATCTACAATTATCTCAGAATTAAGAATGTGGTTCTCAAGGGACTTAACTTCAATTTTACGAGATAAAAATGTTCTGAAGATCTGTTACACAGCAGCATGAGGATACTTAACACCACTCAACTAGACACTTAAAATGCTTGAGATGGTAAAATTCATGTGTTTCTAAAGTGCAATTAAAAAATATTTTAAGGCTCCCAAAATTTCTGACCATGAAAAGAGGAAAAGCTTAACCAAAACATTCATATATTCAGTGTAATCACTAAGATGGCTAAAATTAAAATACTGACCTTAACAAGTGTTGATGAGGATGTAGAGGAAATAAAACTCTGTGGGTGGGGTATGTGAGTACTGGAAAACAACTTGCCTATGTATTACAACTAAATAGGCACTTAAAATATGATCCAGAAATTCCATTTGTGGATGTGTACTCAAGAGAAATGAAAACATCAGCATATTTTTAGAAGATTTGAACTTAGCACCTTTATTCAAAATAACCCCAAATGAGAAAATCCAAATGTTTATTAGCTGGGAAATAGATAAGCAAGGTATGATATTTACAATGTCATAGTACTGTGCACCATCACGGTTAAAACCATGATGCACATGAACATTAGAAAGAATGAAATAATTTAGACACAGGATATTCACAAAATTTATTTGAAATTCTAACACAGCAATACTAATTTGCATATCTGTCGTTGCATGAAGACATGACTAATCAAGGATGGAGATTTATTGCAAAAAAAACTACAAAGGAAATTCTGGATTATAGAAATGTTCAACATATGGATTACAGTGGGGGTTGTTACTCAGGTGTTTGTGTGATGTGTATGTGTATGTTTTATGCAGTGTACTCCTAAATAAAATTTATTGGAAAAAATACAAGGTTCTCAGCATATCTAACCAGATGAGCAAAACAAAATAAAGCCCAAGTATGATTTTTCTTATCCTCAGTAGCTTATCCTTTGGCATCCTTTCTGTGAGACACTGTCCCATGAATACCTTTCCCCAACATCCTGGATGAGGGGATTTCTGGGAAGTTCCAAATGGAAAATTTAGCAAGTTTCTCTGGCACAGCACCAATCAATGAGCCATGGTGAAACCCTCCACAGCATCCAGATGTCTGTCCACCCTGGAGGTTGCTGCTGCTCCTTTTACATGATACTACTGGAGCTGTTTGACTTCTCTTGACTTCTTACTAGGCACTCCTTTGTTACTGATATCCTCATATGTCAATAATTCATATGAAGCTGTATTAAGTTAATTTTGTTCTCCTGACTCAATTCAGAATGGTATATCTCCCTTGTGAATGTGACAAACATCTACTTTTTCCTCAAAACTGCACTTCAACATCACTACTGTACCTTGCCTGGTGAGACACTCAACATAGACATTTTGAATGTATCTGTTCATCTGTTCATGTTGAATGTATCTTGTTTGGGGGATTGTTACGATGTGGTACACACTGAGGTAATGTGAACTGATTTATGCATTTTGCTATAGTGTAGGTGAAATATTTTCATACTTAGAAATTTTCTTATTCTAATAGTTTCTCTTTCAAACATTCCTGCTCATGCCTCATCCTTCCAAAAAGTACCACAAAGCATATATTTAATTTTTAATGTAAAGTAAATAAAGAGTGGGATCCATTGGGATATTGTGAGAGGTTTTCCAAGCCTCTTGAGGTAATTAGAAACATCCATCCATATCAGAAATGCATGAATGACTTTCACTGCTGTTTGTAAGTAATTTAAGAGCCAGGTTGACAAGTGAAACTCACCTTTCACCTGATTAATGACCAAGACCTCAGAGATGTGATGAGTGGGAGACCCTGGATTTGGTGTCTTAAGACAAAATATGGTCCTTTTGGAGTCTATTGTTCAGGCTGAGTCTTGTCAACCCACGCTAGGGCTCCGTAACTGCGTCTACCTCTCCACACAGCTCTAACATGTCTCCCCACTTGTTTCAGAAATCTTGTGCAAGTCAGAATCTTACACCCTAAATTGGTTTTTATGACTTAATCTCATGAAACAAAGATGGGAAGTCAAGGAAAATATCCCAAATATGTTTATCTTTTGAGTTGCACGGAAGGCCTTAGTAAGCAACTATTTTACAATAGTCAATTTGGCAGGTTTTTGTGTTACCAATGAAGTAAGGGTTCTTTTGCATGGCTCTGATAGAAATCATAAACTAGCAAAGTACAGAGCTTTGAGCACTACTGGCCTTCAGCCTACAGAGTGAGAGCTCTGGGCACTGATGCCACCAGTCTACACCAATTAATGCCAGATAGGGTTTATCAACACTACGAGCTGGAGGTCTTCACCCCTGCAAGTTGCTGACAGTAGACACTAGCTTCTGCTGGACCCTTCAGGTCAACTCTGCTGGGTGCTGTTCTCTGGCTCATCTTCATTGGCTGGTGGTCCTGGAGTTCTTCTATTAGGCTCCTAGCATTTATAACTCTTTTTTAAAAACGCAACCAGTCTTTCCACACTGCTCAGCTTGTAAAAATATCAAGTAGATTTGTACTACCTAAGAAATCAGAAGCAGATTTACAGGATCACCAGCATGAAGCTTTTATTTGAATGGGACCTGCTACAGCACAAAGGAGTCAGGACACAAGGGGAATATCCTAGGCCAACCCAAGAATTATGGGCAATGTTGCTTATAGAGCAGCTGCAGGCCTGTGATTGGTCCAAATTCAAATCTGTTGACTAGCTCAGATTGGTCTAACAACAAGCCTTTCTATCTAAGCCTACAGACTGATCCAAATTCAATTCTACTACTCCATTCAAATTCAAGCCCACCTGCAGTTGGTGGGGGTGCACACCTCCAGCTGTGGGTGTGGATTCCCAGACAGTGCAGCTGTCATGGCTGGCTGAAATCAAACTACTACTGCAAAATTAGAAAGAGATGTCACCCAGTAGGAGCTGGGTGACCCATGGAATCTGTATCAGTACTGTACCATCTATGAACCTTGCAGCCTGAATTGTTATCTGCTCATTTTTTCATTCAATTAGTGAACTTTTTAAAAAGTTTACTAGGAATGTGGGTGAAGTAGCCATTAAAATAGCTATTTATTATAAATAAAAACTTTAGAGTTGATTACAAAAATTTTATCTTTCCATGACTTTCCTAGGTGTTCCTTGGGATAAGACAAGTGGAATGATGGTTTTTCTACTTTCAGATAATTGGTTTACCCAAATCAAATGATGTGATTACTTTTTTTTTATTATCAATACTCATCAGTATTCTAAGTGCTGGGGGAAATGACATCAGAATAGCTTTGACTGATATAAATCTCCAGCCTGCATTATTGTCAGAAGTTTACAAAATCAGTGAAAAAAATCACCTCTATAAAATGCTTCCCTGGACACATACATTCTGTAACTTTTTTTCTCTGCTTTGTTGTAAATAAGATGCATGTAGGATGTAAAGTCTATGATCCTTGGTGCCTCACTGCCAGGATTTCAAATCCCAGTCCCACTTCGCCATGGTATTGTGGGAAAATGACTTAACTTCTTAATGCTTTGGTTTTCTCACTCTAAAATCAGGTTCATGATAATAATAGCTGTTTGAGAAAATATACACACAACACATAGTATAAGTAGGTCCATGTAAGTGTTAGCAATTATCAACACCAAATGCAATCAACCGTTTCTCAAATGTTGTATAGGCATCTTTAAAGCAATATGGTGTGGTCCTCAACATCTGTGGTGAATTAAAAACTGGTGGTCAACTTAAACATCAGCTGAACTGAATCAGCATGGTGCTGAGTGTAGATGGCCCACCTGAGGAAAATTACCAGCATGCAAAGGAGACCTTGAAAGGAAGAGTACTGTTGTAGGTTCTCCTAAACATCATTGCTATTTGGAGCTGTTGGTTCCCCTGGAGGAACTTGTCATGCTGGCTTCCCTGATATGAACTCAGCTGTTACCATTGGAGAAACTTGGAACACTGTCACTGAGGATGGCTGTGGTACTTTCTGGCCCTTATTTTGAGTGTCACTTCCTGGATGCAGTGTAGAACACTTAACCTACTGGCACAGATCCTTTACCCCGCTGGCATAGACATTCTAGCTTCCACCACTGACCTTTGGGCCTTCCTAGCACAGATCCATGAAGCAGACTTTCGTAAGTCATTGTCATGAGCCCTAAACCTCCAGTTGAACCATGGGAGGCATTGTCATTGGTTGTAAGTATGTATTCAGCTGAATTTACATAGGTTATTTGTTGGGGGCCCTGGCCGGGTGATATGAGGCCTGTAGGAAAGAGTGAAGCCTGAGCTAGATTACCCCTCCCATCGAGTGTGCCAAGATGGCGCTTATATCCTGCTTCCTGCTTAGTAAACAACACACCCTGTAAGACAGTCCGCCCAGCAACAACTGCCGTTAGCCAATCAGCTTGCCTTGCCTACTTTAATATGATTGGACACTGTATCCGTATATATACTGGTGCCACCCTTGGGGAGAGGCAGAATAGGAAGGAGATATAGGAGAGAATAGAGTAAGAGAGAAGAAGCGCAGAGAGAAGCACGCAAGGAGCCGCGGAGGGCGGACCAGAGGAGGCTTCCCTCGGGCGGGATCGGGGATCCCGGAGCAGGCTGTACGGAGAGAGAGAATAAACGGAAAGGTTGTCCGCCAACAACTCTTGTCGTGTGCCTTTCCTGCCGGCCGGGACTGACACCGACAATTGGTGGCCCGTACGGGGAACTGATCACCCCCGAGACGAGGCGGACAACGCTCCAGTACTGCACTGCAGGACAGGTGAGTAGGGGATAAACCTGGGCTCTGGGTGGCGCGCACCTACAGGGCTTTTTAGACTCCCCTCAGGCTCACGTGTACGTGGCAGACTAGCCTCACACGGTGAGAACAAACTTCTCAGTGACAGGCATGGGCAACTTACCCACTAAGAGTTCCAAGTCACTGGTAAGAGCAGTGAAAGACCTGCTCAAGATTTCAGGCATATCAATAAGTTCCAAGACACTTGCAGAATTCCTCCAACAAATAGATGAGGCGGCACCCTGGTTCCTGCCGACGGGACATTTGTCCCTGCCTTGTTGGGAGAAATTGGGTAAAGATTTAGAACGAGCAGAAGCGGAGTGCCGGCTTCCACTTTCGGTTCGGCCGCTCTGGGAGATGATTCATTCCTGCCTCAAAGGGGAGAGGAACGGGGCTAAAGATAGCGCGGACGGGCTCTCTCGGGCCCGCCGAGCTTTTGAGGGGGCCCGCTCGGAGTCCTCCCGGGAGGGGTCCGTCGCAGGGAGCGTGCGAGGGCGCTCGCGAGAGCGAGGCAAGAGAGAGGCGCCCCCTGCCTCGGATTCCTCAGACTCAGATACCTCGGAGGGCGAGGACAATGAGGTAAGTGACTCCCCTAATCCCTTCGCAGCTTTACGTAGAGATCTAGTCAAGATGCAGACAGACCTAAAAAAGGGAAAAGAACTCTTGAGCACTCCCCAACGGAAGGTCATAGAGCCTTCCGCGCCACCCTGGGGGGTCCCAAACGCCAGTTCCTATGGTGAGATGGCAGCCTGGGGCCCACCTCCGTTGCCACCCCCATGGAGGGAGTGGCCTGGACCGTTGTCACATGCAGAGCCGCCATCTTACTTGCCTGGCGACCCGCCATCTTGTGCCCTAAAGGCTGGTCGGCCATGTTGTAAAGAGGCGCCATTTTGTGATAGGGAGAGACAGTCATCTCACAGGGAGACACCATCTTGTGAGAGAATACCAAGGTCCCAAGAAAAGTACTTTCGTAGATGGACATTTAAGATGGAACAAATCCCCCATGGGGCAAATGAGTACGAACAATGTGGGTTCTATCCGGTACACCTGGCGCAAGGCCAGGGACCCAATTACTGGGAACCACTGGAGATTAAGCAAATTAAGGAGCTCAAAACTGCGGTTGCCACGTTTGGCCCTACTGCTCCTTACACTATAACAATGTTGGAAAATCTGTCCGCCGGTGGTTTCCTGACACCCAGTGATTGGACCCAGTTGGCTAAAGCCTGCCTGGCCCCCGGGGCTTTTCTGGACTGGCGCGCCTGGTATACTGAGTTTGCTGCCGAGCAGGCCGAGAGAAATGCGGCTAGGGGCCATAGGGGACAAAATGAGGACATGCTTATGGGTAAGGGTCAATATGCCCAAGATCAAACCAGATTCCCTCCAGGTGTATATGAACAAATACACAACATAGGTATTCGTGCCTGGAAGCAGGTAAACAACACAGGAGCGGCCTCACAATGCCTCTCTAAAATTGTTCAGGGCAACGCAGAACCTTTTGTGGATTTTGTGGCCAGAATGCAAGAGGCAGCCGATAGACTCTTTTCAGATCCGATTGCTGCTGCTCCTCTTGTTAAACAGTTGATCTTTGAGCAGTGCACCAAGGACTGCAGGGCAGCCATAGCGCCTCACAAGGGTAAAGACATAGAAGCTTGGATCAAGATTTGCAGAGAAATAGGAGGGCCACTGTCCAACTCAGGCGTGGCTGCCCTTTTAGCTGCCGCTTTACGACAGACAAGGCCTCAGAAGGCTAATGACCCTGGTAAGCCCAGGGGATGCTTCCAGTGTGGGGATCCTAACCACATAAGAAAAAACTGCCCCAAGACTGGACGGGGGGAATTTATACCCAGAAGACAGGAATCAGACAAACAAACGGGGACCTGCGAAAGGTGCGGTAAAGGTTCTCACAAAGCAAAAGATTGCAGATCAGTTTTTGATGCCCAGGGAAACCGTATTAGTGGCAGGGAGATTCCGGAGCCAAAAAACGGCCAGAGGGGGCCCTCCCTACGGATGGGCCCCCACCCCCTAGACAGGACAGCACAAGGTGGCAGCCCCCCACAAGGGCTACCCCTGGGTCAGCAGGCGTGGACCTCTGTGTCGCCTCCAGACTCCTATTAACATCCGATATGGGCGTTCAGGTGGTCGGGACCACCTTCAAAGGACCGCTACCTGAAAAGTCAGTTGGTTTAGTGATTGGACGGTCCTCCACAGCCCTCCGGGGCCTTACCGTGATCCCTGGAGTTATAGACTCAGACTACACAGGAAACATTAAGATTATGGTACAATCTCATGTAGGGACCATGGTGATTAATGAGGGGGATAAGATAGCACAACTTTTATTGCTCCCCAGTCTCCATGAGAGATTCCAGTCTAGACAACGGGTTAGAGGGGATCAGGGTTTTGGCTCCTCTGGAGAAATTTTTGAAGGACTTCATATGACTCTTGATAAAAGACCCATGCTCTCGCTCAGGGTTAATGGTAAAAAAATAACAGGACTCCTGGATACAGGGGCAGACCGCTCCATTGTCTCCAAGAAAGACTGGCCTTCTAGCTGGCCCACCAATACAGCTGAAAACACACTCCAAGGGTTGGGGATGGTGGCTGCCCCCCAGGTTAGTGCCGTGACCCTGCCTTGGTGTGATGAGGAAGGTCACCAAGGACATTTTCAACCTTTTGTTCTACAGCTGCCGATATCCTTGTGGGGAAGAGACATCCTCACTCAGATGGATGTCACTCTTACATCCACCTGTTCTCCCCAAGCTAAAGGCATACTTAGAAATCAGGGATATGTCCCTGGCAAGGGCTTGGGCTCTGCCCTGCAGGGCCGGACATCTCCCGTGTCTGTAGAAAAAAGGAAAGATAGACATGGGCTGGGTTTTTCCTAGGGGCCACTGAGAAAGCTCTCCTGCCCACTCCAATTAAGATCACTTGGAAATCCCAAAATCCGGTTTGGGTACCTCAGTGGCCCCTACCCAGGGAGAAGCTTTTAGCATTAACCGAGATAGTCAAAACCCAGTTTCAGGCAGGGCACATAAAGCCATCAACCTCCCCTTGGAATACCCCTGTTTTTGTTATTAGAAAGAAATCAGGTAAGTGGAGGCTGCTCCATGATCTAAGGGCAGTCAACGCGCAGATGCAACCCCTGGGGGCGATCCAGAGGGGGCTGCCAGCTCTCTCGGCCATCCCTCAGTCCTGGCCAGTTTATGTTATAGATCTTAGAGACTGTTTCTTCTCAATCCCCCTGCATCCAGAGGACACCCATAGATTCGCCTTTACCCTACCCACCATTAACCAAGAAAGTCCTGATCAGAGGTACGAGTGGGCCACATTACCCCAGGGTATGGCCAACAGTCCCACCATGTGTCAGATTTACCTTGATTCTCTACTGGCCCCCCTACGCGAGGCCTTCCCCAGAGTTAGGTGTATTCATTACATGGATGATCTGCTGATCAGTGCAAAAGATGTAAATAGGTTAGAGGATATGCTAGGCCAACTGGTCAAGGCCCTAAGAAAGGCCAATTTACATATTGCCCCTGACAAGATTCAGGGAGGAGACATAGTAACCTACTTGGGTACCAAAGTCTCCCCTACATCGATTTCTCCACAGAAGGTAACCATCAGAACAGATAATCTTACAACCCTAAATGACATGCAAAAGTTATTGGGAGATATAAATTGGATCAGACCTTACTTGCACATCCCTAATTCGGACTTAAAGCCCCTGTTTGATCTCCTGAGAGGAGATCCGGATATTGCCTCCCCTAGAGAGTTCACCCCAGAAGCCAGAGTTGCTCTAAAAAAGATAGAAGAGGCCCTAAGCAAAGCTACTTTACAGAGAATTGACCCAGAACAGCCTTTTGAGGTCTGCTTGTTGCAGACCAGTTCTCAGCCCACGGCAGTGATTTGGCAGAAAGGACCACTTCTGTGGGTGCACCCTAAGGTTTCACCTGCCAAGATTATTGAACATTACCCGGAAACAGTTGCTTCCCTGGCTCTGGAGGCACATGGTAGAGCCATCCAGCATTTTGGCTCCACGCCTCACGCTATTCGGGTGCCTTATACCGCTTCTCAAATAAAAATCCTGACTGCTTGCATAGATACTTGGGCCATCCTGAGATGTGTTTTTCTTGGGGAGATAGACAATCAGTTCCCCAAGGACCCTATACTACAGTTTGTTACTCAACATCCGGTGATATTTCCAAAAATCACCGCCCCTGCACCCCTTACTCCTGCAACAACGGTCTATACTGATGGGTCAAAAACCGGGATAGGGGCCTATGTGGTCTCAGGTATGCCTCCGATCAGCATACAATTTGAACCAGATCAACCACAAGTGGTAGAGTTACAAATTGTACAAACCGTCCTCGAGAAGTTCCCAGGAGCCCTTAATATTATCTCTGATTCAAAATATGTGATCAATGCCATACAGGTCCTTGAGACTGCAGGCCCAATTAAGCCAACCTCCAAAGTGACTAATTTGTTTCTGTCTATCCAGACATTGCTCATAAATAGACACAACAAAATATACATCACTCACATAAGAGCACATACACGCCTACCAGGGCCCATGGTACAGGGCAATGCGGCTGCTGACGCGGCCACTCGCCCGTTGTGGATTTTCAATATGTTATCTCCAATAGAGCAAGCCCGTCAGTTCCATGACAAATTCCATGTCAACGCCAGGACGCTAGCCAACCAGTACCACATCTCCAGGGCTGACGCGCGGGACATCGTGCGACTGTGCGGCTCATGCACCACATACACGCCTGCCGTATCAACGGGGGTTAACCCCAGGGGGTTGATCCCTGGCGATACTTGGCAAATGGATGTCACACACATGACAGAATTTGGATCTCTTAAATATGTCCATGTCTCCACGGACACCTGTTCTCATATTATATTCGCGACTGCGGAGACAGGCGAAAAGGTGTCTAATGTGATAAACCATTGCTTGGCGGCCTGGGCCGCATGGGACAAACCAAAAATATTAAAAACTGATAATGGACCAGCCTATATAGGCAAAGCCTTTAATGAGTTCTGCAAAAAAATGGGGGTTCAATTAAAACATGGTATTCCATACAATCCCCAAGGTCAAGGAATCATTGAAAGGGCTCATAGAAGCCTTAAAGAAATTCTACAAAAACAAAAAGGGGGAGTAAGCCAGGGCCTGCCCCCAAAGGCACGGCTCTCCATGGCACTATTCACATACAATTTTTTGAACCTGAACAACAACAACCACTCCCCGGCTATGGAACATTGTAATCCATCTCCTAGCAATAGGGGATGGGTGAAATGGAAAGATGTCCTGACGGGACAATGGATGGGCCCGGATCCAGTAGTCAGCTGGAACCGAGGTGCGGTTTGTGTTTTCCCACAGGAACCAGGAAGAGAACCATTGTGGGTTCCAGAACGGCTGACGCGCGTAGCGAATCCAACGGAGCGCAATGCAGGGGACACTCCAAAACTCAACGGCAACGAACAGCCCGGTCAAGATCGGTCCGACCAGGATACTGCTGCTCGACCGAGCGATACCGTATGACTTCTGGAGCACAATAATGATTATGCTCTCTATAGTAATTGGTTCTCTTTTAGGGTACGGCGCAGCCAGAATGGCTAGGCCACGCCGCCTCCCGGCAACCCCTTTCCTCCTGGCTCTGATGCTCACCACCACCACTGAAATAGGAGCAGACCTGGTATGGGCGGCAATACACCATCCGCCAGCGCTGGCCATGATTTCTACTACAGCCCCCTCTCTCCCAAAGCTGTACGCAAAAAACTGCTCCGCCAGATTGCCCTGCATACCAGATATACCGCTAACCATCAAACCCATACGTTTTGACCTCCCCATCACTAATGATGTGGTCATCTTTTCCACTGTTAGCTACCCCTCATGTCATCTGGGATCATGCATAGGCTTCCTGCCCTTTTTTATAAAATGGCACGACACCTCCCTGACGGTAAAGTTGTCCGCCCCATTTCTGTATCCGCCTGAATGTTCGGGTAAACACGCTAGCCAACTAGCCTGTAGACCCCGAGCAGCCATGCACACTCGTCCCGATTTTCCCACATGCCCGTACCGTGTATCCCCAAGCCGTAAAAGACAGATGGTGGATCTGTCACAACTTTCGTGGCAGCCCTGCACTGTCGATGGCGTGGGAGTTACTTATCTAAACATGTCTTGGTGGTCCCGGTTCTCTCTTCCACGCAGTACAGACATACTCACTGTGACTGGGTGGGAGTCACAGCGACACCAATATTTTGATGGCGCTGTGACTTGGTGGGAGCCCTACAAGGAAATAAGCAACAATTTGGCAACAAGTTTCCCCTTCCCCCTTAATGAAAATTGGTTATGCCTCTCCACGGGAGCCTGCATGGACTTAAGACCTGTGCTTGCTATTAACGCCTCTGCCTCTAATGGAACCACCAATGTCACCCTTAACTCTGAGGCCGCATGTGTAAAACCGCCCTACTTATGGGTGTTCTCTGTTGACATCACCTTCAAGTGCAGTAACCAATCTTGTTTTACAGGGAACTGCTGGAATGGGTCTTTCCCGTATGCTATGCTGGCTCTTCGACCCCCACTGATGTGGGTTCCCTTTAACGAATCTGTTTGGGTTCATCCCGTCTACCAACAGGACCAGCTACCCATGCTCAGGCATAAGAGGGATTTTGGGATCACAGCGGCCTTGGCAGCACTGTTCGTGACTCTGACTGCAACGGCTGTGACGGCTGCCGTTGCTCTGACTCAGTCCACGCTGACGGCGCAGGCCTTTGCCAATCTTACAGACACCACCTCCTTGGCGCTGAGGGAACAGCAAGAAGTTAACCTCCTCCAGCACAACGCCATAATGGCACTACAGCAACAGATCGACCTGATTGCCCAAGAAGTCCAAGGACTTTGGGAGGTGGCTAACAATTTGTGTGACGCCAGATGGGCATTCACCCAGTTATGCGTTACCCCCATTCAGGTTAACCGTTCGGCCTACAAGCAATTTCAGGATTATGTTCTCACCACCTACAATTCCTCCTTTTGGAATGCTAGCGTGCGCCTAGATATGACCATCCGGCAGCTAGATCAGATAGAAGTACCTATACTTACAGCCTCCTTTTTTGATGATGTCCTAGGCCAGATAGGCTCTTTCTTCAAACCCTCATCACTTCTTGTGTATGGGATCATTCTTGTTCTCATGGTTGTCGCTCTCGTGACCCTCAGGTGCCTGCGGTCGATAAGGACGACCCAAAAGACACATATGGCACTGATGATATTGCTGGCCCAGAGTCAAGGGGATTCCACTCCTAGTGCTTTCTGGGCTCAGGCCAGGAAGGCACGACTCCAATGGTGATTACTTAGTTCCTCAGTGTCACTCGGCGGACCCCTTCGTATCTCCCCCAAACATCAGCTCTAAGAGTTGAGTGGACAAGCCAATGACGGGTAAGACGGGAGAAGTTCTCCTGATCAACCTAAGACAGGCTCCACTCCGATATACTTGGCCTGTAAGGCCGAGGGTCCCTCCGGGAGTAAAGTTAATGGCATTGAGATGCGAGACCAAGGGTACTGCACTGCCATCCGCCTCAAAGGTTGGGGGGAAGACAGGAATGAATGTCTATATGCATCCAGGTTCGGTTCACAAAAGCCTGGCCCTGCAAAAAAATGAACCACTCACCTTGAGCATGGTCCTGGGCCAAGGATATGCACAAAACAAGGTGATGCACAGCAGGGTATAGACCTCTACATTCTCTCATGCCTCGGCCTACAAAGTAGGCCCACTCCTAGACACCTTAAATGGACCCACAGACCACTCTATCTTAATAAATAAAGAAGGGGGAGATGTTGGGGGCCCTGGCCGGGTGATATGAGGCCTGTAGGAAAGAGTGAAGCCTGAGCTAGATTACCCCTCCCATCGAGTGTGCCAAGATGGCGCTTATATCCTGCTTCCTGCTTAGTAAACAACACACCCTGTAAGACAGTCCGCCCAGCAACAACTGCCGTTAGCCAATCAGCTTGCCTTGCCTACTTTAATATGATTGGACACTGTATCCGTATATATACTGGTGCCACCCTTGGGGAGAGGCAGAATAGGAAGGAGATATAGGAGAGAATAGAGTAAGAGAGAAGAAGCGCAGAGAGAAGCACGCAAGGAGCCGCGGAGGGCGGACCAGAGGAGGCTTCCCTCGGGCGGGATCGGGGATCCCGGAGCAGGCTGTACGGAGAGAGAGAATAAACGGAAAGGTTGTCCGCCAACAACTCTTGTCGTGTGCCTTTCCTGCCGGCCGGGACTGACACCGACAGTTATTGCCATGGGATCCAATCCCTTAACTGGATTTCTAGGTCTTTAGCATGTGAACAGATTTCCTGCACTTCTTGTATTTGACTCTAGGTGACTACCGTAAAACAATACTATAAAGTACGTGTCCTGTATTGTCTTGTTCTTCTTACAATCTCTGACGACAACATCTTTATACATCTCCCTGTGGTGCCTAGTGTATATATGACTTTAATAAATTCTTACTGAATAAACAAATGATGTCATTAATTGATTAAACACAATTGATCGATGTGATTTAAAAACACCCTTGCTACAAAAAGCCATTCAGACTGTCATCAGCATCTCGGGTGTATTTTATGTCTCCACAAGCCCCTCTGTTGGTAAGGAAGATAACTAAGAATAAAGACATGGAATAATTTGTCAGAGCTATTAACACATATTTATGTTAAAGAATGTTTATTTTATATAAACAAGAAAAATTAAAACAGACTAGGTGTTCATCAGCAAAGGAAAGTTTGAATAAATTTGATGTAACCCTGAGATATTTATGTTTTAAGTATCTATTAACATAAAAATGCCCTAATTACAATAAGTGAAAAAATGGCATGTAAAACTGTATAAACAATAGTTTTTTTAAATGTGTTTGTATGAAGAGAGAAATAAAAGGAGACAAAATACCAAAACTATTATTAGCTATCTGATTGGTAGATTTGGGAGATATTTTTAAGTTTCTCTTCTTTACATATTCCTGTATTCTCTATTTCTTCTAAAAATTATAAAAACTAATTGCAATTGAAGTAGATAGACCTTCACTATCAGCCTCGAGGCTAGCGTCTCAGGAATGAAGTCACGTGTCCCTTGATGTGTAGAGACTCACCAAGTTAACCGTCTCGTTTGGTCTGCTACATCACTCGTCTGCACGTCCACTCAGGACAGTATTCCCAGCTGCTCTTTCCCAAATTCCCAGAGTGTCCCGAAACTGACATAAAGCATAACACCAACATCTCACTGTTTGGGAGGGTCAACAGTTACCTAAATTTCTCACATACTCCCCTTCAGATAGTTGGTACTAAGCAAAAACAAAGCACCTCACATAGCTATTACAAACCAAGCACATTTATGTTATCTCTCGCCCTTGAGGTGCCTGATACAAAGGAAGTATGATTAGGGACCTTACTGATAAGGCTGAACAAATATGTCTTTTGAAATAGGATATAGGCAAAGCTCAGATTGGAGTTCTGTGGTATACATTAAAGCCTAGTTAAATTTCACTCTGAGGTGAGCTCCAACTTAGAAATCTTACAATATTTGCTTAAGAAAAGTCATTTTATTACTTTCAAATTCACAAGAGCTTGAAGAACAGTGTTGTGAGTCTAAATCAAGGAAGTCAATGTTTTTAAGACTTGATAAGCTATTTATAATGAACATACCATTATTATAAAGATTATTTATAATGAACATAGTCAAATATGATTTGTTTCATCTGATTTGTTTAAAAATAACTTAGTAGTTGAAAAGTATATTCCCTTAAGTAGCACAATTTTTCTCAATTTTATTTCTATTCTTAATTTACCTATATCACTCCTCAAGGCAACCTCAAAAACCCAACTAAGCCCATCTAAAGCATCAGCAATTTCAAGCAGCTGAACTAAATTGGTAAGATGTTATAGCACATCTAGAAGAAGAGAAGAAGGTAAAAGGGCATAATATGACCAAATGTAGCTGCAGAAACTGCACAGACACTATTTCTATTCTAGCTCTTTGGCTATATATGGAGAAACCAAGCATCAATTTCTATTTTCACTCAGGAAAATCTTAAAAAAAACAGTGGGCATATGATAGGATGCAGTCATTCCCAAAAGAGAGGAGACAGGACAATAGTTCTGCAGGTCCTGAGATACTTTAGGAGAAGAAATTTATTAAACTGATGAATATTTTTATTGAGGACTGAATAATATTGATTAGTAACAATTTTGTGGAAATTATTTATTTACATAATATTTGTTAAGCATCCCACTCATATCTTCTGGGGTTTTTTTTTTGTTTTGTTTTGTTTTGTAACAGGAATCGAACCCATAACTTCACACTTACCAGGCAGGTGCTGAGCCACTGATATTGCCAGCTCCCTTCATTCTTTTCTTTCTAAGTTCAGCTGTCCAAGTTAGAATGCAAACTCCAGTAAGGATAAAGTTTTGTTTTCATGTGTGGATTTAAATTATGCCAGTACATGGGAGGTGGCCAAAAAATAATTGTTAAGTAAATGTGTGTTAACTCCATCACAATAAAGACACCAGTCTATGACAAGTCTATGGTAAACTAGAAAGAACACCTAATTTAGAGGCCAAAGTAAGTAGCACTTTGCTTGGCCTTTTGTAAATATTTGGTGATCACTGTTTTGCTTTGGTTTGGTTTTGGTTTTGGTTGGTTGGACAGATGATTGTAGACAGATCGATAGATAGGTGAATCTGATGAGTGGATGCTGAATGAATATGATACTAAAATTATCTTTATCTATAAAATGAGGACCATACCTCACCAAGAAAGCAATGTGAGGTGCCATGGGTATGGTTCAGCAGCATGGCGCCTGCCTAGCAAGTGCATAGATTCAATTCCTGGTTCCAAGAAATTTTTAAAAATGAAAGTAAGCAATGTAAAAATCGTGTGATATCTCAGCTACTCACAATTCTATCTTCTTGTTGTCAGGGAAAATAAAAACAGGTCAAGGTGGTGAGAATCTTAGCAATATGAAATAAGGAAAGAAACCATTGACAGGAGCTAGGCGGGAATTTGGAGTTTTCTTCAGTCCTGTGGAGCTACCAAATCATGACAGGCAAGGAAGCAAGATGGAGAAGATGAACAATCATTGGCTTTCCGGTGAGATTTGTGTGAAAACCAGCTTCATTTTCACCCCAGCAACCTACTTGAACTGAAAGGCAGCAACTACCAGGTGAGGTGGTAAAAGCCCTCAAAAACTAGTTCCACTGGTCCACTGATCTTCCTTCTGGTCCTCAAGTCTCAAGCATAATGCAGCCCGTATTGGTTGTTCCTAAGCAGACTCTCCCCTCTATGAATCAAGATGTGCCTTCACTGCACAGGATGCCTTTGCTAATTTTTATGCCCACAGTGCTTTCACACTGCAGGCTGCACCATCTACTCTGAGACAGAGATGGGAGATAAGCCAGGGGATCTCTGAGCTGGTCCATTTTGGGTCCAAACAGTTTGGGTAATTGATGTTCCTAGAAATATTTCTGGCACTGGAAACCACAACTAAGAAGAGATAAGCAGAGACAGTGCTGATGGACTGAATTTTGTTAGTCGGCTTCTCTCCTTTACAATGGCTATGTCCTACACAGAAAGGCTAGGGGAGGAGAAGAAAATCATAGGCCAGCAGTAGTATGGGACCTGGGTCCCTCAAATATAGCAAAGAGATTCTGAAAGCTGTTCCAGAGTCTAGGGGTACAACTTCTCCTGAACTCATTGAAAATACCCATTAGTAGCAAATTCCCATCATCGGACTGAGAATGGAATTTCCTTTCTGCTGTTGTTGACTTCAATGTAGGATCTCAAAGTACCCAGAGCTGTACTTAGTGCTGTGATATGCTTAAGAAAATCATCTTGTCCTAGAAACCTCTCCCATCCCTGCACCACTGTTTCAAGAGGCAAATTCTTTTCCTACCAATAAAAGACCATAAGCCTCAAATGGGTACCAGCGATTCTTATTCTGAATATGCATTGCTCCAAGTCTCTGTCGCAGCAGGACTTAGAGGAAGCTGGACTGTGGGCACCTTGGAAGCCAAGTCTTGGCCTCAGAAGTGAATGAGAAGCTCCAAACATGCCTTTCTCTTAGGGAGCAACCAGCACATGCCATCTTATGTTAGGAGCCAGCATTCCTGCCTCTGTCCGCAGCAATGGTAAACCTGAACAGATGCCCTAAATACAAAAAGAAACTGAGAACAGCATGGTTGTTGGCTGGTTTCCCATCTGCAACTGACAAGGAATCACATACATCTCTTAATATCCAACATGCAAAACAACTCCTGCTGCAATGTGTCAAATCCATGGCTCCAAATATAGTCATCTTCCCCATGCCTTTATGTAGTTGTTACAAGGAACCATTCATGGAAATGAATGGGCTCCCCTAATTTTCACAGAGTTAGCCGAGTCTCTTAAGTGTTAGATTTATTTTTTGTTTGTTTGTTTGTTTGTTTTGGTACTGGGAATCAAACTCACAACCTCATGTTTGCCAAGCAGAGATAATCCCCCAGCCCAATTTTTAGAATCTTAACCCCTGTATTATGGTTTGTGTTTGGATGCCCCCCCCAACAAACCTCATGCAGTCATGGAGGTGGCTGAATCTAGCATTTGTGATTGGTTCATTGTCTAACACTGGGATTGGCAGTGTGAGTGCTGCATCTGCCCAGGGTGGAACCAGCATACAATTTAAGGGAAGGAAGGAGGCCTGCTTTTCCCTTTTTTGCCCTTTTCACTCTTGTGGCCTGCGTTCACCATGAAGAGCTTCCCCTCAGCCATGCTACTCTGCCTTGGAGCCAGCTGAGTATGGACTGAAATCTCCAAAACCTATAAGCTAAATAAATATTTTCTTCTCTAATTTTGGAGGTCAGCTATTTTGTCTCAGCAACTAGACAAAAGTAACCAAGACACCCTGGGAACAGTGATTAACACTGTTAGTAAAGTAGGTAAGGCAAATGGAGGGAAACTAAACTAATGAGAAAAGATCTGGAAACTGCTTCAAGATGAGGTAGAGGGTCTGGGGATTTAGCTCAGCGGCATAAGTATCTTCCTTGCAAGTGTGCGGTCGTGAGTTCGATCCCTGGTACCGATAAAAACAAAAAAGACCAAAAAAAAAAAAATTGTAAGTAAGATTAGGTAGAAATGTGATTCCAGATCTACTTGATCTCTAGAAATCCTACTGGGGGAGGCCCAGAGCAGGGTCCATGAAAGGTGCAGCTGGGGTTAA